AATTTTTATAGAACAAACTCAAAACACTACAACATCAAACTTTAAGGAACCGAGGGAGTAGTTGATAGTCTCTATTGAGGCGCGTTAAGATAATCATCAATCTGAAAGACATTAGAATTAAAAAATCAAAAACATATACCGAGGTTGCAGAGCAAAAAGTGAATTTGACACAGATGGCTTTTATTATTGATCATTGTTTTCCATAATTACCCTTACTTTCTCTAAACACACTCGACCGTGAATGTGGGGGTAATACAGTAAGTTAGACTGCAAAACAGCTCTTCCCTCTTGCAGTCTGTTTTTTTTTTTCATCTAACGGTTGAAAATTGCAAAAACTCTGAACAAGATCTGGTGGCTCTCTAGTCTAGATTTTTTTAAAAAGAATTAATAAATGACATAATATCTTGACTATAAAATCTAGCCTATGTATCAAGTTTAAAGTTTTGAATGACAAGTACACAGTCAAAACAAAACTATGTCAAATCTTTATATGTTGGTTGATGCTTACACATGTTTGTGAAAATCAACCGTTTTCTTCCACCATTTTTCAAAAAAATCATCTGTAAAATATTGTAGTGATGAAGTGTATATAATTTATTTATATCGTTGTTTTCTAAACGTAATTCAACCAATAAAAGTTATAGCTAAATTCACTTCTTTGACAAACTTGAAATACCTAAGAGGTCGTTTATTGGCGGTAATAGAGAGGGTACCAAAAGGAAATCAAATAAAAGATGTGTAGCTGGATTTCCAAGACAAGTTGGAACTTTTGGTAGTTTGTGTGTGAATGAAAGGGAGGAGACATGGCTTATGTGATTGCCCTAAACATATTTCTATTTGTTTAAACCAAAACAATATAAAAACAAAAAACATTGTAATTGGACATTGTAATAATGGGAGACATGTTTTTTTTCCTCCAAGACAAACAAGAAACCTCCATGTGAATTTCCACCACCTTGTAATATGTCTAACAACATGTATTCTATTAAACTATTTATTTTTTGTAATGTTTTAGGATTTAAAAAGGACCAATTTGCGTAATTTAATCAACACAATCTATAGGTAGATGTATGGCTAAAGGAGGGACACATCGACCGTGTGTTACCTGCATACATACTCGTGATTCGTATTTTGGATGCAGTGATATAAATAAAACAAGTAAATAAATTAACTAATTGTTTGATCGATGTAGAAATATATAACACTGTAACCAAATTATCTCAGTTTATGTCACATGTCATATTTGCAATTCATTTCCACTGTGTTTTTAGATTTGCTAATTTCCCAAAATAAACCTAAAGTCCTCAAAATAGACGATAGTCTCCTCTGCTAACCTCACGACTCACGGGCAAAGCTTTCTGTTTCCTCTTTGTTTAAAATTTTCAATTTTTATGTTCAGGAATTATAATGACTAGTGGGGTTAACTTATGTGAATCATGTCATATCATATCTTAATCATGTCACAACACACAACAAGGACAATGTAACTTTTTCTTATTTATAACAAAGCATGTCACATTTTGGTTGGTTTAATATTAACTATCAAGGATTAGGAGACGCATTACAGCACAAACGATAAAATCTGTCTCGCTTAGAGAAAAGAAACAGTGACGGCGGAAACAAAACAAAAAGTAAAGATAGTGATAGATTGTATGATCTTATAATTTGTCAATAAAACAACCAACACAACCATGTAGTATTATCTTTAATTATTTGGTTAAACTATATAAATATTAGTGTTTGAAACATTGCTAACCTACAAAAAATAATTAGACGAACAAATCCGACCGCCGCATGGCACTACTAGTTTTCAATGACTTAATCACCGGGAGGGTTCCTCAAAAGTATATGATAACCAATTAACCATATAGTTACGTTACGTAAGCTACGAGCCTGGAACTAGTGTCGATATTGTTCTAGAATCTTAATGACTATCTTTAACAAAAAAAAAATCTTAATGACTATCATAAATTAGTTTTCAATTCTGTTGACTGTTAAAAAGTTTGATAAAAACTTTGTTTTGATCCATTGTTGATTTGAAGTCAAGGATTATGATATACAGTCTATAAGTTTTGAAAAGTGATATTTTCTTGGTAATAAAAACCTTTGAAAACTACATTTTTAAAAATTTTGAATGATCAACAATGTAGATTTTTTGTCCTTGAACTTTAGTTATTGATCTTTTAATACAGAAAAAACATTTGGTTTAGTAATATATATATATATGGTGAGTTGGGCTGGGCTTCGTATCTCTTACCAAAACAAATATACGGCGGGCTTTATAGATTAATGAGCTATTAACTAGTTATGGGCCTTAGTCCTTATTGGTAACTAAATCAATTAAACATTCCTTAAATCATGCTAATTAAATTTACCGAATAAAAATCAAATACCTTGTTTTTGGTCTGCATTGTTAAAAAATAAATTAAAAGGTGACGTGTCATTCGCTAATTCGATAAAATTTCGGTAAACAAAAAAAGGAAAAGGTTACGCGAATTATATATAGACACATATAGCTGCGACGATCGCAGTCGAAGTTTCTGAGTAATTGAATCATACAAAGTCGAATCCAAAGTTTTTGATCTTAATCAACTCGCATAATCTCTTCCTCTCTGTAAGTTTCTCCGATTTGATTTCGTTCGGTTTCTACAAAAATATGCAGAGATAAGTTGATTTCGACTTGGGTAGTAGAAAAATTAGGGTTTTGTGTTGGGATTTGGTAAATATCGTTTTTTTGTTCCTTATTTTGGTTGGTGATTCTGGGAATTTGTTATATATTTTTAGGCATAAAAGATGAGTACTGGCAGCTTCAAGCAGGATCATGATTTCGGTATAAATCTTTCTTTTTTTTTTTTTCTAGTAATTCGATTGTTGTGAATTTAGGATGATATATCTTAATAAAACATGATGAATCTTGGTTGATGAATTGATTATATATTGCAGAGAAAAGGAAAGCTGAGGCTTTAAGGATCAGAGACAAGTATCCTGACAGAGTTCCGGTAATCTAACTCTGTTCTTTTGTCTTGAATTGTCTTTTGTGTATCATCAGCCATAGATTTGGTTCTGTTTCCTAGTTTTGCTGATTTTGAGAAGCTTTTGTGTGGATTCTGAGGCCTGATTGATTGGAATCTTGCACTGATTGAATCTGAGGCCTGATTGATTGAAATAAAGAGCACTTTGATAGATGTTTCTTGTTTCCTCTGGCTACAAAGGATTTGACTCTCACAGAGAGTTTTAACAAGAGTTTTAGAATAAGATGGTTATATTAATGTATGTTTTGTAATAGGTGATTGTGGAGAAGTCAGAGAAAAGTGATATCCCAAACATTGACAAGAAGAAGTATGGATCCGCTCTTTCTTTATATCGAACATTTGATACTTAACATTGGAGTCTTTCTTGCTTATTCATGTTTTGGATTTTGCATTTTACAGATACCTCGTCCCAGCTGATCTAACCGTTGGCCAGTTTGTGTATGTGATTCGTAAAAGAATCCAACTTAGTTCAGAGAAAGCTATCTTCATCTTTGTTGATAATGTTCTTCCTCCCACCGGTAATGACTCCTCTTGACCCCCTACCTAAACAATTATTAATCCTTACTTAAACCTGTTGGATTTTATATGGAATTGGTAAATTCAATTGCAGGAGCGATGATGTCAACCATCTACGAAGAAAAGAAACAAGAAGACGGCTTCTTGTATGTTACCTACAGTGGGGAAAACACATTTGGATCTTCAATGAATTAAATTTGGTGTTCTTGCTTTTAATTGAATGTAAATATTCTCTTTTCTATTCTTGTTCGTCAACTTGCTTGCTTAGCTACGCCGCTACGGATATGTTATGGTTTATGTAGGAACAATCAAAGTGTTTGAAACAAATGTTAGTTTTCTTATCTCCTTTGGTTTTGTGGCCTGTCTACATACATCTCTCTCTCTGTCCCTTGCCCGAGCATCATACACGTCAAACGTTGCAATCTTAGTGACTTCTCAGACCATTCCAGCTACAAGAGCCAAGCACAAAGTCTTCGTTTAGTTTTGGTTTGGTTTTGTAGTGGTCTTACAATTCTGGGTCGAGCCCACGGAGGCTGTTGGGCTTTATCTAGGCCATAGTGAAGAACGATTGTGGGCTAGCTAGCCGACGTGGCGGTAAAAGACAAATCACATGGGGGAAGCGCCACGTGTAAAAGTTAGCGGCAATGGCGGCTTGGGGTTGCGGTTAGGGCACGACCTTCACGAACAACATAAAAACAGAGCGGTGATGGTCCACGCACACTTGTCTGCTGTTTTTAGACCCCACACGTTCTTCACTCTGCATTTTCCTTCCATAATGTATTCTCCCATGTCATGTCAAGTGTCAACTACTAATTTATATGTCTAATCTATTATTTTTCTCAATAGTTGACAACAAGAAATGCCAAAATATCTATTTTGGGTTTTGGTACGTTTTTTTTTCTGTTAAAGGGTTTTGGTTTTGGTTTTGGTATTGGTACGTTCTCGCTTCACCAAGTAACAAAATCGTGTCATGTATACATGTGTGTTTTAAAACCATGCACTTATTTTCTCTTGAACACGTTTTTTACTCTTCTTCCCCCTGATCGCCTAATTACTTAATTAGCACCCTGTAATAATCAAGAATTAAAACATTTCTCGGTTTAGACTTTAGAGTTTTAGTGAAATTCACTAACCAAAACTCAGCACAAATTAGTTTATAGTGTGCGATTTAGTGTCATACTTTTCAGATATTTCACTAGTGAAGCGTGTTGAGACTTTGATCATGAGGATTAACTATATATGCATATTCGCTACAATTTTGCATGTTTGCGAACATAATAACTTCAAACTTAAATGGTTTTTTCTATTGAAACAGTCAAACAGACATATAATACAAAATTTGTTATTGACTTTTGAGGTTTTGGCAGACATGTACACTACCAGTGTCCACTTGTTGAGAACATCAAACTATGTCCCTTGGTGATTAGAAGCGGGGAAACTATTACTTTATTATGCATAAAATATGTATATTTTGCAAGATAAGTCATCGCAATGCAACGAAATAGCTAGGTGGTTGTAACGTCATTGTGTTCACGTATATGAACAAGTATCATGTGGGAAATGATCTATTTATATCTCAATGTGATAACTACATCTAACAACATAACTAATCACAGACAAGACCGTTGCATACTTATTAGTTTTGATCAACTATATACACATACACTTAGGATAATATATTATACATGGATATCAGTTTTTCGAATAATATGTTAGTTAATGGATAAGTTAAGCATATATAAATGAATGCTACAAATAAATTGAAAAGATCCTCTGTTTTTACTGCACATTCCATGAATACAAATTCAACCACACAATCCATTTACATATAACCTAATATATTCGAAACACCCCGTCCATGTTACAGATAATAATGAAGATATATAAGAAAATCTTAATTTGGTAATGTCAGAAATGGAACAATCCGTTTTGAAGAATGTTTGGTTGAAAAAGTCTGCTTGCTTTTTGTTATTGCAATTAAAAATATCGATCGTTACGCGGATGTTAAGCTTCCCGAGAAACACACACAATGTAAATAAAAAATGAGGAGACAAAGTTAGAAAGGTAGCGTAAAACCATGCTAAGTGTTTAAAGGCCTCAACGTAGAGACAAAGAGTTAAGAGATTTAAAACCTCTTCTTGGGATAAACAAAGAAGCATATGCATCAAAAACCCTAATTCTCCCTTTTGCTCGTTTCGATGACTAGCTAGATTTTCGCTCCATTATTAATGCAAATTACATTAAAAAAAATATAGATAAAATCAGTAAGCGGGGTCAATCTGAGAATGCTATAACTACGAGAGAGAACACATAAGTTTGGTCTTTTCTCTTTCGTTAGGTTTCTCTGGTTTGGGTCGGTGGATTCCTCAGAGACAGAAGAGGGGGCCACTCAACACCATATCTGACCTTCACTGCTCTTTTCTTCCCTACACCCATACATTTGCATGTTCTCTCCTTCTCTTCTACCATCAACGACTCAATCTCTCTCTATCTATATCTGCATTTATTACACAATCTCTCTTCCTTTAGCATTTATAACAATCACGATACCTTTAAACCGCCATATCTCTCTCTATCTCTAAATATATATCTACAACCGTCTCGGTTATAATCTAAGTCATCTCTTTGATCGATACTACTCGTATGGATACGTTGAGGAGTGCTTGCTTCTACTTCCTATTAATAGTCTTTGTCATATTTTCTCGGTCTCTTTTATGCGATTCTCGCCATCTTGGACACATGGAGAAGAAGCTCAGCGTGAATCGTGACCATTTCACTAAGGTAAGCCCATTTGCTTTGTGATATTAAGAGTCTTTGTTTATTTGAATGGTGTTTGTGTTTTTGTTTGTTTGTATGAAACTGGAGTAAGGGTATTTTCTTAAGATCTTTTTTTGGGTTGGAAATTCACATTCTTATATGTTAACATAGCAAATTAACACGGACAAATATTTCTTGATCATTGATATTAACATGTGTATGATACTATGATATATAGTCCCTTTTTTTTAGTGAATGCAACTGGTTCATCTGTATAAGGTTTTAACCTTTTAAATGCCTTCTGATTATATCTAATGCATACATCCTTTCAAAATCAAATCTACTTTTAATTTAAAGTTTGTAGGGAGGCTCCAAATACTTTTAGAGTGATTCTGTATAAACACTAGAGTGTGTATAATTAAGAAGTTCAAGGGTAAGTTATGGTCGAGTAGTGTAGCTAGTTTCACTTATTTACTCACAAACACTCCCATGTAAAATGGGTTTGTATTTATATTACCATGTATATGACAAAAAACAACAAAACAAAACTAACAAAGTTAAGTCATGAATACTAACTCTTATTCCATGGCACAGAAAAATGACGAGATTGAAAAACTAGAAGCTCCATCAACAAACAAGACGAGCACCGTATTTAGCCAAGCACATGCCGTAGTTAATCATGGTGATATTAATGGTCAGATCAACGGGAAGAGGACGAAGGACGATCACAGAGTAAAACGAGCTTCAGACAAGAAGGTGTCGTCTAAAAGAGTCTCCAGAACATGGAAAATTCCTAAGTATCCAAAGAAGCAGCCTAGATCAGATCAAGAACATCCCGGTTTCAATCTTGATTATATGCAGCCCACTACACACCCGCCTCATCATAATTGAACTCTTAATGATCATGTAATAACTCCATGCATAAACAAATTTTATATCGTGGTTTATCATATATCATAACTTAAAGTCACGAAGAATTTTTACCTTTTTTACTCGTTTGATATATATCATGATGTATGGTCAGAAACGACCTAGTTTTAATAAGCTTTATAATTCAAATTAATACATATATTAGATTAGTAAAACAGTTATCGATATTGTTCAATGCTAATCCGTTGGGTTTCTGGATTTTGTTACCATATCACACTTGGAAGTTGCATGCATATAATGATGTACTATATAATATTTTACTCGTCTTTATATGCACATGCATGTGTGTGATCATTTCGTTGCTCAATCACTATATCAATATATATTTTTGCAGTTGTTCACTATTGTATTGTTAAGGTTGTGATAATAAACAGACTTGTTGTGTATTATATTATACATATATACTGTATGTAGTTTTCTGCTAATCATCATAAACCTTTCAAGTTAGTCATGTTAATTTACCATTTAAATGACAAAAACGATAATGGCGACTTTTATTTATTTTCCTTTTGTTTACGTCGTTTGCTAATGTTATCAAAACCGAGTCTAAATATGTATATATTGAACTTGGTGGACCTTAAAAATAGTAAAACTTGCACTATTTCATCCGATTAAAGAATAGTAATAGTGTAATACTACCACTAGTCAAATCAGATGCATTATTTATATATTTGTATATATAGATGAGTCCGCGTGCACAGTCACTGTTAACGATGTCCAAAAAGGACGAAGATCCCGCGTTCAGATGTCCCAAATCCACGTATCTTAAATTTAAAATTGACTTCTACTAAACCTATACTCAATCAAAGACAATTTGTCTATCTTCATTTCTTATCAAAACATATACTTTTATTGTCACATAAATGTAATACTCTTTTTTTTTTTTCTCGTAACGTAATTTAGATAGATCAACAAGAGGATACAATTCAATTTTTTTGTGGAACAAACGGGATGTGAAAAACAAAATATAGAAAAGAAAAATTAATATAAGGCCCAATTAGATATAATAAGGCCCAACGAGAGAAAACATTAATATAAAAACAAATGGGTCATAAGCCCATAACATGTCCTGCAACAGATAATAAAGAAGTTGCGATCTGGCTAAAAAACTTTCCCGCCGGAAAAAGTTTCTGGAGTTTCCAATTTCTAAAACCTAAGCGAGACAGATAGTCTCTGATTTGGGAGATTGAGAGAGATTCGTGAAGAATGGAGGGAAATCAAGCTGGATCTTCTCTAGACTCGTTGATTGCTTCGTTCAATAAACGAATCTGCGAATTGCAGGAACTCGTCATCGCCAGAAACAGTGAGTCCTAGTCCTAACACTCAATACTCAACGCGCTATTCAATTCTCTCCAATCGATGACCTAATTTCAATTTCATGAAGTGTATCCTGCGAGCACCATCCCGGATTTATCGGCGATTGACACGGCGTTGAGCTCAATGGAGCTTCAGGTACAATCCATCAAGGACCGGTTACGTGAAGAAACCGAAGCTATTCCAAAAGCCAAGGTACGTCTTGTTTACTTCCGAGATTACTGAAATTCAGATTTTATTATTTGAATAATTTAGGGTTTAGAATCTTATTGAGAAATTTGTGTTGAGAAATTTGTGTTGCTTGTAGAAACTTATTGAGTCATCACTGAAACAGCAAGGGAAATTGCAGAAGATGTCTATTTATGCACCTTCCCATATTCCTGACAAGGCTACAATGTTGAATTCAGATTTGAATAGATGGTATATATACATTTCTTCTTTTTCAATTTCTTGGTATATAGCCTAGGATTTGACTAAGATTATTTATTCCAGTTTGCTCCAAGAAAATGCCAAGCAGTACGAGCAACATTCAATTCCCAGCTCTTTGAAATTTGATGAGGAAGTAGCTGTTTTACCCAAGGTACAACTTGCATATACTTTGTTTTCTCCAAAGAGACTTTATGGCCTTTAAGACTTTATGGTTCATCTTTGGGTTTTGTTTCTAGGAGAAGAAGGGTCGCGGGTCTCCTCCGCTTTGGTACATCACTGCTGAGGAACTCAATTCACTCTCATCGTAAATACATTTTACTTTCTCTTCTCCCTGTTTATGTGAAATCAATGCATACCGCTTTCCTGACATTATTATTCCAAAAAAAGATACATGAGAGGAAGGCTCACGCTTGAAAAAGTGAATGCTGCTATCAATGACATGGCCTCATATGCTGAAGCAAATGCTCATCTTATTGCAGCCTCAAAACAGAAGGTATATTTACATATATTATGATCTTTTACCAGCTTAAGGATTTGAGTTACAATTGTACTGACGTTTGTTTGTTATATTGCCAAAGCTGGCGGAAAATCTCTGGGAGAAAGCACTGGTAAGCTAATATAACTCATCCACCACACTGTCTAGATGATAGTATCCGTTCGATCACTAGTGAAAACATTGTTATAATCTTTGATTGTCTTGAAACTCTTATATGCAGAAACTACGAGATATTGTAACAGAGCAAGCAGTGAAGGGCAAACATTTCTTTCTTGAAACTGACATGAAGGGACCAAGTTTGAAACTAGACAACACAGGAAAAGCAATACTTACTGTAAGTAACTAATATATGTGTCCTTCATTTCAAATTTTCAACAACAAACAACATTTTTATATTATGCTTCCTTAACTCTTCACCAGAATTAGACTAACATCGAAAACACATGCTCATTGTCATCTTTTCATGTGTCTATAAACAGGTTCTTCGTCACCTTGGTCGTATCAGTGAGACTCGCATTGGACAAAACCGCGTCATCATTCTTATGAAGCCTCACTAGAAACCAACTTGCCGCAAGTAAGCTGTTCATTTTCTCAAAGAGTAAAGGGGTAATTCCGTCATTTTCCATCAATTTCTTGCTTCATTGTACCACAGAAGGTCTACTGGTCCTTTAAACACCATTAAGCCTTAATCTTAATTCTTAAGACCGGTCCGCCTGACAGGCCCAGCTAGGCCCAGAAAATCAACTATGTTGCCATTTGAATTTATAATATGGACAAAAATGTTTAATGCAATTTCTCATATTTTCATAAAAGTAGAAAAACTCGATTTCCGTTATTTTCATAATATTATAAAAGTAATTTTTCTAAGCAATCTGGTTCAAGTTCCAGTGCACAAATGGCCTGTCCCATTCAAACCTACAAAGTAGCAAAACTCGGTTTCCGTTTTTATTTAGTGACTTTTGATTTACCCATCACATAAGTTTTCTTAATACTCCCATACCTTTAGGATCGTATTGACATATTCGTATGTGTGTCACTGACTCACTGGTCTATTCGTAAAATCAAGATTGTACTTCCTCTGTTCCTAATTATTTGATGTTTTGGATTTTTTACTTGTTCCATTAAGATTGATGTTTAAAAACATCATTATTATTTTTGTTTGTAACTAATAATAGAAAGAGGGAAGTAAAATTAATATTATTAAACTAACAAAATAATAATTAAAAAATATAAAAATTATTTTTTTCTTAATTTGTGTGTAAAACTAAAACATTATTGTTTTAGGAACAGAGGGAGTAAATTGTACTATTGACATGGACCAAGTAAATTTGGCAACATTATTTTCCAACAGAAGAAGAAAACAAATCTAATAAGCAAGCGAAAACGACGATCCTTACATTATTGTTATTCATATGTCATGAAATAAAAACAATATGAACAAAGAAATGGGAAGAAGAAAGTGGTCCAGGGAAACAGGAGAGAAAATACTATTATTTGCCTCAGAAACATTCACAATTTCACGTTTATCCATAATGTCTGTCCCAATCTCTTTGTCTTCTTTTTCATATAATCCAATTAACCAATTTTAGTCGTCTTTCGTTCGTGCAAAACCCACAAAATAGTAATGCATAAAGACAAAAACACACAACAATCTTATCGCATGCATTTTTTGAAAGAAAATTCACATTTATTACCAACCAACTGGTATCAAATAATTCATTAACATGTTTACTATGTTGTGACCTAAATTTTATATACAGATACAAGAAAGAAACAATCATAAATTCTCGGCAGACCACATTTAGACTTATAGAGTTCTCCATCACTACCATTTTTACTTCCTTTTCCTTTTCTTTTCAAACGTATCATTTAACTCGGCCAAGAAAGATATGGTCGGTCTAATGCATTTAATGACAAAAAATATTAATCCTTTAAGAATTTACTTCGCCGCTGTAAATAATAAATTAAGGCCGCCTCAATAGTACTGAAATTGCAAATTCATACTGTATTACTTTTTTGTAATGAAAAAAGAAGACAAATAAAAGAGGAAGCAATAAAACGGATTATACGAGAATATGTTTCAATATACTAAAAGTATTTAAATGGTTTAGAATTAAATAACATAGAGTTCTCTCATTACGCGGTACAGATATCAGAGTCAGACAAAACCAGGAGAGATCTTTTCAACTATTTTAATTCCATGATTTCATTTTCTTAAAAACCTAAAAATTCGATTCGATATTTAGAGATATTGATTAACAATATAAAATATAGACTATAGTAGTTTACGTGTATTCATTCTACTTACCAACTTCGACCAACCAAATTTCACCAAATGTCACGAGTTAATAGAGCGGAGCTCGTTGCGGCGGCGTATTCTTCCGTCGGTTTAAAAAGTTCACCGGAGCTTCCGTGTCAGTCGTTGAAACCACCTCCGTGACTCTCCGGCAAGTCGTCGACAAGCTGCTTCTTTTCTTCCTAACGATTTCAGTAGTGGCGGTGCAAGCGAGCGCCTGACACCAGAACATGTCTTCTCCGTTACCAGCTGACTCGGAAGTTGTTCGGGTCGACCCGGTTGGTTCGAGAGTGGAACTCGGCGTCGTTGTCGTGACTTCGTCGGTTAAATCAAGAACGTTGCAGACGCGGAGAAACCCTGCGAGTCCTCTTTGTCTCATTATGACGTCACTAATCTACAAAAACAAACAAACCATGTGTTTGTGTTTTCAGCGACAATTACGTGTAAATATGATCGTACACGCGTGTTTAATTAAAAGGCAACAAAAAACAACAAAAACAGAAAGAAATTGAATTGTGAATTTTGAAAGAATTTGAAAATTAATGAGACAAAAAAAAAGTTCCTTTTTTATCTGAGAAAATTACGTGTAATCGTGCATCGAAAATGAATTTTCCAAAAAAGAAGATTAACCCAGATGATGAATATTGGGTATGTGATAGAATTTGAAACGTAAACGTAATTAACGAGAAAAAGATGTCCCTTTTAATAAGAAGAAGAAAAACCAGACCTTGCAGGAGAGAGAGCAGAAGAGGTAAGGAGACTGGAGACTCCGGTCGCAGGTGATGCAAATGTTACCGGAACCACGAAACTGTCGAGACTGAGGTCTTTCATTGATGAACACAACTTTTGAACTGTTCGTTATGTATGGCTTTAATCATCATCATCATCAACACATACACACAAAAAGATAACGCGTATTAATTATTAAAGCTGTCAAAATTTTAGGGCACAAGAACCCATGAAAATTGGACCTTTATTGTTTACAATAAAGGATTAAGAGATTAATTACAGGGATTGAAAGTTATACCTGAATTAAAGAGCAATCCATTAGCTTCGAGCCATCTTCTACCCTCAAAACGTCTCTATACACGTATCTTCTTATCTGCAAAAGATTCCCAGAAACATATAAAGTTCATATTTTTATCGAAAAAAATGCAAATTTTGAAACCAAAAAAAAAAAAAAGTTTGTGTTTTTTAAAGAGAGAGACCTGAAGGAGACGATGAGTGGTATGTGAAGAGAGACAGTGAGGACAGATGCTAAGACAACAATCGATACATAAAATGTTCTTCTCGTTCTTCTTAACATCTTCATGATCCAAACAAGCGTTGAAAAACTTGTCTTTTAACAAAACCTCAAGCCATGCAGGAAATTCTCCAGATTCCATCTGCAAAATAAAAAAAAAAAGTAAACTTTTTTAACGAAACCCAGAAATGAATCAAGACCCATGTTTCAATTTCATGTTTTATGGACTAAAAAAGTAAATTTTAAGAAGACCCACCGTGGATTCTCTTCTTCTGTTTATCTACACTGGGAGGTGTTTTCTTGGGGGAGAGATAGAGCGAGAGTAAGGTCAAGCTCAGGCGATTTTGAGCTCTCAGTGGTGAAATTGACTGACCATTCTCAGAGAGAGAGAGAGAGAATGAAAGATGGAAAGAGAGAGCGGCGCCTGGAGAGAGTGACCACTAGCTTAAATTTAAATGAGTCTTCTCTTCCTTCTTTCCTTAATGATAGTATGTGTTGTAATCTCTTCGTTAGTTAATGTGTTTTGTTGATTATTTACTCTTCTATCTTTTAGTTTTATCCATTAGAGAAGTGGTTCACTTAAATACGTAATGAGTAGATAACAAAATTCGATTATTAGAGTTGAAAAGTAACAATTTGTGTAAATTATCATTAGTTCCAGTACTTTTTTATCGAACAAAGCATAGTTTAATATACAGTTCAACTTGACAAAACAAGAGTGTTTGAATAGAAACTATACTATGATTTATTGTTAGAATCCAGCTTGGCATTTGGCAGTATTAGTAACAATAAATCATAGTATAGTTACTATTTACTGTCATATAAAAAAAAAAAAACTTTTTATACAGATTTAAATGATTATCGTTAGTTTTGAATACGGTTCAATAATAATTAAATTAAAAATCAATCTTTTATTAGTCTCTCTTTTTATAATCTCTGCTAAACCTTTTCTTATAACAACAAATGAGTTGAATTAAAAAAAAAAAAGTAAAACGAGATTTCCTTATACAACCAATTTGATTTTTGTGTATGGTCTCTTCATGATATAAATTTGTGTGTGTTGTTTTTGTTTAGAAGGTGTGTCTGGTTCACTGTGAAAAAGTGCTAAATGACAAGACTCTCTCCCCAACAGTCTACTTTACATTTCTCAGTGGCAATTTCGTAAAAACCCAATATAACCTACTAAAAAACAAATTTATCTTTTTACTACTACTATTTTGTTCAATAAAAATGTGAATAAAATACCCAAATTAAAACTAAGCAGAGTTTTATAATTAGAAACATTAGCATCAAAAAAAAAAAAAAAAACTAAGCTCCATTGATAATTAAGAAACATACTGTAATTGTTATAGCTAAATGAAGTGCTTATATGATTGACACATTGAATAGAGGAAAAATAGAGAGCAAATTCCAAGAAGCCTAAGACCCCTTGTCACAGCTGTAGACTGTTCTCGAAAACCAGTGCGAAGTTGATGAGCTTTATTAGTTATTGCTTATACTACTAAAATTACCTACGTACCTCACTAGACAACCTATTAGTATTATTTTCATTTATTATTATTATTATGTAGAATAATCTCTCAACTATCAATTTTTGCATACAAATTTTTTAAAAAGACAAATAAAATGAGTATGAGTGTATGTATAGAGAGAGAGAGAGAGGGACAGAGAGGTGGATCAGAGTTAGTACGGAGGAGCAGCAGCCTCAGGCAGAGAAGAATGCGACGCCTCTGCTTTCTTTTGATCTGATCCGATTCGATTTCGATCCAGCTGTCCCCTTTCTCGTTGGTTAGACCTTTTAGTTACAGATCATGGGTAGTTTAGTCATTTCATAGTTATTTATAAATGGGTATGGGCTTTTTACATTTCGGTTGGGCTTCTTTCTCTCTGCTCATTACGATTACGTGGATCGAATTTAAAACACCTGATGGTCCTGACTCCTCCTGATTACAACAGCACAATCGAGAGGGTATTGATTTTTCATATCAAACGACGTCGTTGCAGAACGAACTTAATCTAACAACCGAATTCGTTGGTAACCAAAAACGGTCAAATGAAAGCAAGGGACAATGACATACGACCCTCAATTTTGTCTTCCTATTTGATTTGATGTCCCACAAGTAATAAATAAATAAACTATATCTATATATGCCATTGTGGAATTTACACATAATGATATAATTACTACGAACTAAAAAAAAAACACAGTACTAGTTCTTTTCGTTTTATTAATTTTTAAACATGTTTATATGAAAAATAGTTTAAAAGACGCAAAGGAAAGCTTAAAAAGCTTCCGTTTTGTAATGTTAAAGGCAACTAAAATTTAATGTAAAATGTCTCCCACGTACTGTAGTTATATTATAATTTAGCATTTGATTAGATTACAACAAAAAAAAAAAGGCTACACATTATTATCTCAAAGAAAAGAAAATTCAGAACATACACAAACTGTAAATCAAATTGTGTGAAAAAATGGGCCATAATAGTTTGGTCCAGCTCGTGGTGGAGTTCCGAGATGTTGTCGGGTCGAATATTGAAGGTGAGAAAATAAGTCGCTTTGATCTGTTTCACGTCCCTGAAGACTCGCTCTTCTTCGTTTCCTCAACACCATGAGAATAAGAGTTGTTGAGAGATCAAGTCAGTAGTCACCCACCACCACTCGTAGATTTGCGATTGATGTAGAAAATTTAAGAATACAGTATATCATATTAGTGTATATAGAGTGTTTAGAGAGTCTCTGTTGTAAATAGAGTCTTCAGTGAGTTTGTTAATTGTATATAAACCTCACTTTGTATAAACTTTATGAATTAATGAGAAAGAGATTATTTGGTAATATGGTATCAGAGCGAGTAATCTCATTTTCTCCGTAACAAACTTCCGCTTCTCTTTTCATCGGAATTTCACCGGTTTTTCGCCGGATTCTCTTCCGATTTCAACTCTTCTTGAGTTTCTTCAGCTCCGATTTGCTTCTTCGCTGTTCTCCTATGCATTTTCCAGCTTCTTTCATTCAAATCGAAGCTGCATTTTGATTTCAATGGGAAAACGCAACTGCAAATCGAAGTATCGTCGTTCTCTTGGTCTCGATTCACCAGAATCCGGCACTGCAGTGTCACCTCGAAGTCGCGGCGAAGCCTCTGTTCCTCCGCCGGCTCACATGACTTCGGGATTGGTAAATCGCGATTCAGGTAGCTCCGATCGTGTTCCGGTTCATCGATCTATCTCCGCTCCGTCTCACGGTTCTTTTGAGGTATCAGATTCACCAGATAACATTCATTCTCCGTATCATTTGCATAGTTCCGATCATCCTGGCCTTATTTTAGTCTCCGATCCTCTTGATGGTAACAACTACAGTGTTTGGTGTGTTGCTATGACTACTAGTTTGGAAGCTAAGAATAAGATAGGTTTTCTAGATGGATCTATTGCGAAGCCTGTTGAATCTGATCCGTATCACAAAATCTGGTGCCGTTGTAATAGTATGGTGAAGTCTTGGTTGATGAATAGTGTTTCTAAGAAGATCTACACGAGCATTCTCTACATTAAGCATGCTTCTGATATCTGGAAGGATCTTCATACTCGCTTTCATAAGTCAAACCTACCTCGCCTCTACAAGCTTCGACATCAGCTTCAATCTCTCCATCAAGGTAGCTTGGATCTGTCTAGTTACCATACTCAAACTCAAACATTGTGGGAAGAATTATCCAACATTCAAGTTACTCCCCACACTGTTGAAGATTTACTTGCAGAAAAAGAGACAAATCGTGTGATTGACTTCTTGATGGGACTTAATGAGAGTTATGAGAACATTCGCAGCCGTATATTGATGAAGAAGACCTTACCTACTCTATCTGAGATCTACAATCTGTTGGATCAAGAAGATAGTCAGAAGATGGTTAGGCCTGTTGCTACTGATCTTACCTCTGCTGCATTTCAAGTTTCTCAATCTCAGTCTTCAGGAACTGGTGCTCCTTCTTATCCAAGAAAAGACAGGCCATACTGTACTTTCTGTGGTAAAGTAGGTCATGTCATTGACAAATGCTACAAGAAGCATGGATATCCCACTAGTTTCAAGCCAAATCAGAGGAATGAGAAATCTTCTCTTGTTGCCAGTGTTGCTCTTGAAGATTCTGCATCTGCTACTGCTTCTGACATGACTAGTGATCTCTCTCCAGCTCAGATTCAGGCATTGATGTCCTTCTTGGCCAGTAAGCTTCAGCCTCCTGACTCCACTCCCACACCAGAAGTTAATTCTGTCTCAGTATCTTCTGTGCCTTCTTCAACTTCCTCTGGTCCAATATCCGGTACAATTTTTCCTTCTATCTCTTGTTCTTTTGCCGGTATTGCTAGACCCTATGTCTGTTCTATGAGTGGTGACCTCCCTGCTTTACATGCTTGGGTCATTGACTCTGGTGCCACCAATCATATCTCCCATGATCAATCTTCTTTCCTTTCCTTTAAACCTATGAATAATACTGTCAACCTTCCTAATGGTATTTCTGTGAGCATTGTTGGGATAGGTACTATACATTTGGGTAGAAATTTGATTCTTCATGATGTCTTATACATTCCTCAATTCAAATTCAACCTTCTTAGTGTTAGTGCCTTAACCAATAGCATGGGATGTCGTGTCTGGTTTGACAAATTATCTTGTGGAATACAGGATCATACTCGGGAATTAATGATTGGAAAGGGTAGACAGGTGGCTAATCTCTACTTCTTGGACATTGCGTCTTTATCTTGTCAAGGTACTTCTCTTTCTGTGGTTGCTGCTTCAGTCTCTAGTCCTGAATTGTGGCACACACGCTTAGGTCATCCTGCTATGTCTAAAATTCAGTCTATGCAATCTCTTCTTTCTTTAGAAAAAGTAAAAATCAATGCAGATCATCATTGTAAGATCTGTCATTTATCGAAACAAAAACATCTCCCTTTTGTATCCAAAAACAAAATAAGTGAAAATCCTTTTGACTTGGTTCATATTGACACTTGGGGTCCTTTTTCAGTTCCCACTCATGATGGTTTTCGATATTTCTTAACCATTGTAGATGATTGTTCTAGGGCTACTTGGGTTTATCTCCTTAGGAACAAGTCTGATGTCTTACAGGTTTTTCCAGTTTTTGTCAATATGGTAGAAACTCAATTTCAGAGTAAGATTAAGGGGGTTAGATCAGACAATGCTCCAGAACTCAACTTCACTTCCTTTTATCAATCTAAAGGAATCATTCCCTATCATTCTTGCCCTGAAACTCCCCAACAAAATTCAGTTGTTGAAAGAAAACACCAACATCTTCTTAATGTTGCTAGGTCCCTCTTCTTTCAATCTCAAATTCCCCTTCCCTATTGGGGTGACTGCATCCTTACTGCAGTACATCTTATCAATCGTACTCCTGCTCCTATTCTACAGGACAAGAGTCCCTTTGAAGTCTTAACAAAGAAAATACCTGACTATTCTGAATTAAAAGTCTTTGGTTGTCTTTGTTATGCTTCTACTTCCCCTAAGAACAGACATAAATTCGATCCCAGAGCTCGTGCTTGTGCCTTTATTGGTTATCCTAATGGCTATAAAGGTTACAAATTACTGGATATTGAATCTAACACAATTCTTGTCTCTAGACATGTTGTGTTTCACGAACAGCTCTTTCCTTTTCTTGGATCTGATATTCCTCAGGATTCTCAACATTATTTTCCTGATCAGATTCCAATACTTCCTGTGGAAAGTCAATCTTCTGACGAAGGTACTTCTCTACCTTCTTCTTCTATAGAGATTCAACCTTCTGTTGATCCTATAATTGATGTTCCTGAATCTTCTATTCAAGCATCCCACAGGAATACCAAAAGGCCTGCTTACCTTCAAGATTACTACTGTCATTCAGTAGAATCTTCAACCTTTCATGAAATCTCTTCTTATCTTTCTTATGGTAAAGTTTCTCCTCTTTATCTATCCTTTTTGGTTTCCATTGACAAAGAAAAAGAACCCTCAACCTATGCTGAGGCAAAAGAACTTCTGGTTTGGTGTGGAGCCATGGATGATGAAGTGGATGCTCTTGAAGAGACTGAAACCTGGACCATCTGTACATTGCCACCTGACAAGACTCCTATTGGATGCAAATGGGTTTTCAAGGTCAAATTCAATTCAGATGGAACTGTTGAAAGGTACAAAGCTAGATTGGTAGCTAAAGGGTATACTCAACAGGCTGGTATTGATTATAATGAGACTTTCTCCCCAGTGGTTAAATTGACTTCAGTGAAACTGGTGCTTGCTTTGTCTGCTATTTACAATTTCTCTCTTACACAATTGGATATCTCCAATGCTTTTCTCAATGGTGATCTAGATGAGGAAATATACATGCATCTTCCTCCTGGTTATGCTGCTAGAAAAGGCAATTCTCTCCCTCCTAATGCCGTGTGTAAGCTTCAGAAATCCTTATATGGTCTCAAGCAAGCATCGAGACAGTGGTTTCTCAAATTTTCCACTACACTTATCTCTCTTGGTTTCACTCAGTCATATGCTGATCATACTTGCTTTCTCAAGATTAATGCTACTCTGTTCTTATGTGTATTAGTCTATGTCGATGACATCATCATTGCAAGCAACAATGATTCAGAAGTTGATCTCTTGAAGTCTCAGTTACAATCTTTCTTTAAACTGCGGGATCTTGGTCCATTGAAGTATTTTCTTGGCTTGGAGATTGCCAGATCTTCTGAGGGAATTCATATTTGTCAGCGTAAGTATGCTCTTGATTTACTTGATGAAACTGGTCTCCTTGGCTGCAAACCCTCTAGTATTCCTATGGATCCGCATGTTAAGTTTTCTAAGGACCGTGGAGGTGATCTTGTTGATGCTGAATCATATAGACGTCTTATTGGGAGGTTGATGTATCTGCAAATTACTAGACCTGATATAGCTTTTGCTGTCAATAAGCTAAGTCAGTTTTCTCAAGCTCCTCGCAAATCACACCAACATGCTCTTTACAAGATCCTTCACTATGTCAAAGGTACAATTGGCCAAGGTCTGTTCTACTCTTCCAAGGCAGAACTTCAATTTCAGATGTTTGCTGATGCTGATTATGATTCTTGTCAAGATACTCGGCGCTCAACTTCTGGTTTCTGTCTATTCCTTGGTACTTCTCTTATATCTTGGAAATCTAAAAAGCAACAGGTTGTTTCCAAGAGTTCTGCAGAGGCTGAGTACCGTAGCTTGTCTAGTTCTACTGATGAGCTTGTATGGATCACTAATTTCATGCAGGAGCTTCAGATTCCTCTATCCAAACCTACTATGCTTTTCTGTGATAATACTGCAGCCATTCATATTGCCACTAATGCAGTGTTTCATGAGCGCACCAAGCACATAGAAAAAGATTGTCACAGTATTCGTGAGCGTTTGGTAGCAGGTTTGTTTCAGTTGTTTCATATCAGAACAGAACTGCAGCTTGCTGATCCATTTACTAAACCTCTATACCCTAACCAATTCCATCAGTTATTTAGCAAGATGGGTCTTCTCAATATTTTCGTCCCATCTTGAGGGGGCATATTAGTGTATATAGAGTGTTTAGAGAGTCTCTGTTGTAAATAGAGTCTTCAGTGAGTTTGTTAATTGTATATAAACCTCACTTTATGAATTAGTGAGAAAGAGATTATTTGGTAATATATCATTTTTTCCATTTTAATTTTACTTAATTAAAACGAATATATTTTAATAATCTATATATATATATCATGGTAGAAAATGTGAAAATTTGTCCTAGTTTGGATTCTTGTTTAGGAGCTAAATTAATGATACGACGAAAAAAATCAACCATGCATGTATATGCTTACCATTTGTGATTTGACCTCTCGTAAAAGAAAAATTGAGAGAAGATGAAATATGAAAAAAAAAAACACACATATCTTTTCTTCTTAGTGGTGGATGTGATCGAAAAAGATACGACCCTTAATTTGCGTTATGATTACACGAAAAGGAAAAGATAAAACCGTGAATAAAAGTTTTATAATTACATAAGACATAATTAATTATAAATAATTACCACTAACAATGTTGGCTAAAAGCATCACAAAGACGTGAAGAAAAGGGAAGAAATAAAGCAAGAATCTGGGAGATGAGTTTCGAAAGACATGTCTTCATAAAGGAGTCTTCAAAGCTATGATTAGTCATGGTGGTCAATATTAAGTTTTTATACATTTTCAAAAGCTCCCTCTGAATATATTTTTTTACAACAAGGGATCAATAAAACTCTCTTTATCGTGTTTTATAGCCAAATTATTAGTTTGACATGATACAATAATGACGAGAGAAAACCCACTAACCGGACGGGTTAAGATCTTAAGCTTGTTGTTGTTGGTTATCGTAATATTGATAAGTAGTCTTAAATTCAGAAAAGAATGTAGAAAGTGGATGCCACACTTAATTTTCGTGCCGTTCACATTTATAGATACGAGTGTTAACACAGGTAACGTAGACGTAAGGTTAACAACCCCTTTCTCGACTGTTTTATTCAATTCTATAAACCAATTTATGTCCAATCCGATTAACCAAATCAGTAGCAAATTACATCACAATTAACCTAAAAAGGTAAACTTACCTACTACCAGAACTGAATCTATAAAGGACCTGATATGATTGACTTTGCCAATGATGTCATTTGTATAACCGGTTAGTCATTCTAGCATAACTTTGTTACCGTTAACCAAATCATCATCATAATAAAAAAAGTCAGCGGAATTAGAGATGCAGGTGAAAAAACAAATGTAAAAATATAAAAGAATAACAAAAAAGTAGAGTGGAAGAAACTGGAAAGGGAAAGGCTTTGTTTGTGCATTCCTTACTTGCAAATGCATCCAAAGCACACCATTAAAACTCCTCCTTCAAAGCTTAAACCTTGACAAAAAGAGTTTTGACTGTTACTGAAATAAAAAAAATCAAGTCTTTTTCGTTTTCTTGAATCGATTCGAAACTAAAAAATTTGGTTTTTGTTTGATTTGGGCGATTTTGAGAGATGCGGGAAGTGGAAACATCGGCAATCACAGCAGCAGCAGCTCCTCCTCCACAATTCTCTCAAATGTTTCAGAAACTAGCCATGGCGGTCAAAACCAAGACCTACGAGTTCTTCACCGAAGACGATAATGACGAGAGAACCACCGATGCTGAGGGTTTCTCTCTCCTCGACTCCTCCGAGGATTTTATCACCGATCAGAAAGTCGTCGTTCTTAAACCCGATAGGCCTCTTCTTACTTCTTCTTCTTCTTCTTCTCCGGTGAACGATGCTCTGACGAGGAGGAATTTGGCTACGGTAAGTGTTAATAAACCTAATCAGGTTAGGAAATTGGATACCCAGATGGGTTTGAGTTTGATTTCGTCTGTTTTCGCTACTGCTTCGTCTTTTGAAGCTTCGTATCTTCAATTGCAAGCTGCTCACGCCCCTTTTGTTGAGTATAATGTCAAGGCTGCTGATAGAGCTCTCGTCTCTAACCTCCAGAAATTGTCTGATTTGAAGCAGTTTTATAGGAATTATCGCCAAAGTTCGGATTTTGAGTCTGATTTAGCTATTGGGTCTTGCTTAGAATCTCGGGTTCAGGAGAATCAGAGCAAGCTTAGAGCTTTGGAAACTGTCTCAAACCGGCTACAAGCTGAGATGGATGCAAAGGATTTGCAGGTTTGGAGTCTGAGGAACAAATTAGGTGAGATTCAGAAATCTAATTCCAAGTTATCAAAGAGACTGTCTTCAAATTCATCATTGGA